TGAAGCTGTGAACAATCTCAATCTCTTCGTCATCTATCCTGACGCTGCCAATTGGTCCAGTGGTGAGAATTTTTGTCTCCTTGACATTGAGCCTCAGTCCATACTGAAGGCTGCAGTCCTTGACCCTTCATAGCAAGTGCATGAGGTCCTCCTCAGTTTCAGCAAGCAGGGTTGTGTCATAAGTAGTACACAGTAGATCCTTAACAAATAATTATATTTTTCCATTGGCCAGCACCTCCCAAAATACAGAGGAGACAGTAGGAGAAAGGGATCTATACACACATACATTGTTGTAGTTGATCGCCTTTGAGTCAAGCATGACTCACAGCGACCCTATTGAACAAAAGGCCTGAAGCCCCTCTACAACTATCAACATTTATCAAAGCTCATAGTTTCCGGAGGCATACTGTTTAGGAAGTGGATGCCACATGTACACATAGAAATATACAGCACACATACACACATAAATCATGGCCTCTATTTCAGATCCTGTCGAAGCACAATTGTGATACAGCATTTTCTGAAAACCATGTTTTTTTTTTTAAATTTTGTGTGCGTGTACCGTCAAATCAGATCTGACTGGTACAGGAGGATATTGCGCCTCCTTCTCCGGCAGAGCATCTGGTGGACTCGAACCATGTTCCTCTGGGATTGCAGTACAGCTTCTTGCCACTAGGCCACCAGAGCTCCCCTTGAAAACCATGTTTTAATTTTTTTTTTTTTAAGAGGCTATCTGAATAAATTGGGTTAAGACATTCTCACGGTAAGAGAAGGCCATATGGGATATTCCATATTGCAGACTTTGTGTTCCTTCAGGAATGGGATCTCCCTTCTTTTTTTTTTTTTTTTAATGTCTTCAAAATGTACATATTTGAATTTTAGGTGCTAATCACTTTCAGCATGGGATTAGATAACTAGTGAGTGAAAGAAATAAAGGATTTTTTTTTTCTTGTTGTGTAACGTCGAATCAGATCTGATTGGCACAGGAAGAGATTGCCCTGCCTTCTCCAGCGGAGCATTTGGTGCATTCGAACTGTGAGTTTTAGGGATTGCAGCACAGCTTCTGGCCACTAGGCCACCAGAGCTCCTCGGTATTTCTTTTTTTGACAAAACCTAATGTGATGCTTTGAACAAGAAGTGGTTGCTGTTCAAGAAATACCTGTGGAATGATGGGACCAATGGGAAGGTATTTCGAAGTGGTTTCCCCTTTGGAGTCTTTCGTAATTACAAAATACGAGACAAACATCAGAACTGATCCCAGCAGACGGTGTTTAGAAAGTAATAAGGATCAGCAGAAAAGACAGCTACTAAAAACACACACAGCAACAGCCACAAGTGCAGTTCAAAAATTATTTATGGAATGTACCCAAAATGATCTTGTTTAGAGTTTCATGAAGCCTGGCAGAGTCGTTCCAGTTGGCTTGAACGGGAGGTCACAAAGATTAAAAATAGACTTTCTCAACAAGGAACAATAGACCACATTGACTTAGAAAGACAGGAAAAAAATGACAGGCCATAGGGGTGGGCGTGAAGCTTAATCCTATTTAAGAGCTTAATTAACTAACCCCCAGAAGATCGAGGGGGCCTCCCACTTCATGCCCATTCCACTAGTTGGGAGAAAGTTAAAAGATAGATTCATAAATATAGGCATAAAAGGATTCTCATTTGTATAGAAAATACTCAAATATATTTAATATTTTAAATACAATTCAATGAAGTCTGGAAATAAAAGATTTTGATTTTTGGACATTAAGGCCTTTTAAACATTCTGAAATAAATAATACTGTATTTTGAATTGCTTAATCCTTTACCATTATTAATAAAATATTTTAACAAACATTTCTCATGACTCATGTAAGCACTCATTTCCCCCCCAAACATTAATTCTTCCTTATATTTACATTTTAAAGCAAAGTTATATTTCCTCTTAGAATATAAGAACTTTCTTAAGAACTCTATATTGAAATCCACCGTAGAGTGAATTCCAGCCATCTAAATGTACTTATACACAAGAGAAGCCAGGCTCTGCTCCATTCAAATCAGCCTCAAACCATTGAAGCTTCTCAATTAGCTTGTAGCAGCCAGTCACCTGAAGCCTAGGCACATAGCACATACATTTCTAGAGTCCCACTGTAAGCAGACCATCTATTTATGGATGCTCTGTGAATTTAATCTGCTTACTCTTTCAGTCTTTCTCAGCTGAATAGAAACGATCCATAAAGACTGGGAAACAAAGAGTTAACTATTAATTTCATGTCCTTTTGTTAGTGTTGAGGGTGGGAAAAATCCAAAATATCACAAGAGTCCACAATTACGGTTGCATAGTGGAATGTACTTGGGGCGGTGGGAGGGGT